ATTTATAGTCATCGCGAAAGCTAAACGAATGGGAAACTGTAGTCTTTTAAATGGTATGGGAGAATCGGATGGTATCATCGGAATACGTGGTAACAAAACAATTTCTCCTTTAAACTTTCCTGTCAAAATAGGGTTTAGGAGGGTTTAAATTACGCAGTAGAATAATCGGTGAACCAATTTTCATTCCTGATATGTCTAAAGAGTTTAAAAATTCAATTGGGAATTCACTGCCTCGTTTTCTACTACAGAAGCGTCGATAGTCTTAAATAACATTAAATCACCAGCTAATACTTTTTGTATCTGGTAGTTAATCAGATCAACATCAACATTTTTTGCTGCTAAAATTGCACGATTACTAAACTAGTCATGATATAAATAGTTATTTAGTATATCTGGGAAGACACTCTCAATCAGTTCATTTTTAGTTTGAACAACAGTACGGAAATTATCTAGCAATCTAACACGTTGAGTATGTTGATGAAATTCTATTTCACCGTTTCCAAGATCCAGTAATTGTTTAGAAAATTCTTGTGCTGTTGGATCATTTTGGAGTTGTACTCGCGTATTTTTCTTGTCAGTCTGAGTGTTTCAACATTTCCCAATAAAATTTATTGTTTTAGGCATGCATTAACTTCATCTGCAAAAGTAGAGCGAGGAATAACTGGCAACGTTTGCCGAAAATCACCAGAGAGTAATAAAATAGTACCACCGAGAAGTCTGTCACTATTGTTTAAATCCTGCATAGTCCTGTTTAATGCTTGTGAGCCATAGTACACTCATCCCAAATTATGATCGAAGTGTTGCGAACACTGCTGCCATTCCGCTTCTTTTTTTGATTGCATTTGGATTGTTATGAACATCTATTGGTAGCTTTAAAGCAGAATGTGCTGTCCGCCCACCATTCAACAAAGTAGCAGCTATGCCTGAAGAGGCAACTGCTAATGCAATTTTATGTTGTGACCGTAGTTTCACAAGAATGAAGGATAACAAATATGTTTTACCGGTCCCACCTGGTGCATCTAAATAGAAAAAATCGCCTTGTTTGGCATTAACAGTCAACATAATTCGATTGCATCTGCTCTTCAGGTAATAATGGTTCATTGTTAGTAACAAGAGTGGTAAACTTGAGACTAAGTGGTAAACTTGAGATCATAATACATAAATCTTCAATCATTAATAATGCTTCGTTATACATATCTTGTGTGAAGTCTAAGTTCGTAGAGTGGTTGATTTGTTTATGTCGGTAGAATATATCTTCACTCATGTAGTTCTTATATTTTTGCCACAATGTAGGTGACTGTGTTGGAAAACATGTCGTCAAAATAATGGCAAACAGTTGACGAATATTACTCGGCGAGGACGTTAAAGCAGCATCAGCAAGTGTCAGATTCCAATGGCTGCCATCTTCTAAAAGTTACAACACGTGACATGCGTCTTTATATGTACTGAACAATTGGCTATTAACTGTTCGCAAAAATTGAAAAGAGATTTGTCCAGGAACATTTACCAACAATAAACGCAGAAAAAAGCATTCACGTTGTTTTGGATGTACAGTCATCGCCCCAGTGCATTAGATATATGTCTTAGGTTTAAATATGCCTGCAGTTGAAGGATGTCGTTCTCCCTTTTTACGTGGTTCCCATCAAATATCAGTGTATAATAGTGTTTTTGCGAATTGACCATACATATCAGTTTTTTGACAAAGAGTGAAATACACACGTTGTCCATTTTCAAGATGCACTGCACGATGTTGGATAGCAGGTTCCCTATGGTGTATGGGGAAGCTAAGTATGCGCCAGATAGCTTCATTGCTGCTAATGTATCTACCCATTTGGTAGCGTGTTATTTCATCATTTTCGTCTATATTTTGTACTCCAAATATGGCCAAAACACTGCCCTTATGAACGTACTTGCAAATACACTTGACGGATTTGACAGAACTGCAAAGCTCAACATTAATGTGAGCCTTATACGTTTTGGAGAGTAGTGGTGAGTATTTTACTACCCATTGATTGTCAATTTCTAATTGGTTAGAATTTGAAGTACTCATTTTATATGTATGACCACCATTATCAGCGTTTCTGCGGCGATACAATGGACAATCATCAATACCAGTAATGGTATGATTTGTGAATTTCTTAGGAAAATTTTTCTTACGTTTCCCATTTTCCATGCATGGTGATGTCATGTTAAATGCTCCACGCGGGAATTCGGCAGAAATAATTTGATCAATTTCCTCTTGACGAATTTTATCTTCAAGCCAAATTAAAATGTGAGCATGAGGTAAGCCTCGTTTCTGCCACTCAATTGAATATGACCAACAACACGTTTTGCCTAAAACTGAATATTTTGTTATAAAATCAATCAAAGATTTCAACTTTGGTTTAAACACTCGTGCAATAATATCATGAGGATGTACTGATGTACTGATTGTTGACCTGGTAATAATAAAAATTGGATTTCTTCCCAATTGGGATTACACGTAAATGTTATAAATTATTCTGGACGACCGTAATGTAATATTCTTGCATGTTTCGTAGGCTACCTATGTAGCTGGAAGGTAAAATAACAGCAGTGCCGATTTCATTTGTGTTTAAATTTCCCTCGACGTTTCCCACAATAGCATCTCGTAAGTGAATGTAGTCCTCTGATCGTAGTTTAGCTTGGTTGAACCGAGTTAATCGCAAACATTCGCTTTTAATTTTAGCAAACATATCCACAACGTATTGATGATACAATTGACGATATCGAAAGATATAGTTGTCTTGTTTGTGTCTAATTATTAGTCGATACGAATAGTAGTTCATTGAACTAACTTTTTTATTTAATTCATTACCATTGACTGGATCACACTGTTTAATGTTGATATGAATCCATCTTGTTCTAGCCAAAATATCAGTGGGTACTAGAGTGCATCGTACGAGCGGTGTAAATCTGAAATTCTATTTACTGAATTATCTCGGCGTGTAATTTTTATGGATCTGTTATCACCTGGATCACCGAGCATAATAATAGCAACTTCATCAACAGTTGGTGCATTGAATCTGCCGGCGTGTTCTCCCACAGGGACTTTGTCCGCTTTAATGACAATTTGATAATTGTCACGTGGTGACACTCTTTTAAACAATTGAACCAATTGATTATTGCTCTCCAAAAATAATTCTAACGACAATAAAATTGCTATCTCTTCTGCTTGTTCAATAAAATTATACTGGCATCGAGTTGTTACATGTTCTTCGCAATTGCCCCTTAAATAAATCTGAAGAAATTTAGCATCTTCATTTGGCATCGGCATCAATGATCCAATTTTATGGTATACCTGGCCTTGAATTTTGAATGTTGTTTCAAAATTACGTCCATCAGATGACAAATCACAAACTTCGGATGCTCCAAACGACGTCAGTTTTAGGCACGAATTGAATGTTCGTGTCCTACGCAAAAATAATTTTGATTCATTTGAAATGCCAGAAAGAAGGGATTTCAAAGTTTCAGGTGGTGTAGGGAGTGGTGTCAATACAACTTTTCCTGAAGCCCAACACATGCCGGGTGTTTCATTGTGAAAATTTAACGCCTGACAATAATAGCATATTTTGTACATCGCACCAATAGTGACTTTGGAATCAGCCGAGTAATTGATGTCTGGTTCGTAATGAAATGCAAGACGAACAAATGATCGACGTGTTACTGCACGGTTGGTCCGATGATTTTCTCGGTTTTGTTCTCTAATTGAATCTATGTGTTGTTGACGGGCCACCCTGGCTCTCAATACATTTTCTTGTCGGCGATTATCACGCTGTTCTCGTGATTCTCATGCATGAATTTCAGCTGTACGAATTCTTTGAGCTACATTTCTTTCTGCTCTCTGTTCGACTGATTCATGAGCTCTTTCAACACGTGCACGTCGAATCTCTTTGCTACTGGCGTTAAGGTTAGATTTTTTTTCGGTGGTATGTTACTAAAAATATTAATTGAATTTTTAATGTGAATGAATTTCACTGTTCTCTGAATTTGTAGATTATATATTTGGTTGTATTTATATAAGTGTAAATTAGAAGTAAGACATAATGTTAATTAGTAAGATTTGAATTTGAGACTTTCCACCTGTGTGCTCCAGCACCGGTTAGCAAATAAACCGCTGTAGAATTTGAAATTCTGGATTTCAGTTAAACGAAAAGGTCTCCACTTACTGTAGTTGCTGCTTTTGTTGTGGGTTGTTTTCCAATGGAGAAATAATACCCAGCTCTTCGCACAGGGTTGCAAAGTCTTTAAATTTTTTTGTTTGTATTTTCAATGATAAATGAGCAATAAAAAAATAAATAAAAAACAGTACAGTCAAAACCAGTATTTTTATAAATCAGCTAAAATATATTGCTTTTTTAACTTGCAATGTGTTTAAACTCAATTAGATTTATCATTCCTTACCACTGGTGGGGGGAAATGAAGAGACCTTCACTGAGCTGAGAATTATTTCATTCTGTTTTTATTTTTAAATTTTGAAGCCTTATATACTATTTTTCAAAATATCCTAAATAACTAAATATATGTGTATGCTTATATGTATGTATGTTGGCTATTGTTTTAACCTATGTTGTGTGACCTTGGGTTTGTTTTAATGAGCGTACATTTACAAAAAGTTGCTAAAATGTATTCTGTTGTTTTCAAGTGTACAATTCAATACATGTGTGTGAGTGTGTTTAATGTTATCTCTTTTGTAAACTTATGACTTGTGTCTACCCATGCATTTTTATTATTATTAGATGTGGGTTGCATCTAAATGCATAATGTATGTATGTATGTACATATATTAACATATAAACAGATATTTATATTTAGTAGAATTTCGGCTTTATAAATATATATACATATATGTAACTTACTTACTGTCTCTGTACATTTTAGGATTCCTCTAAGAATGAATAAAAAGACATCTACATATGTTTAAATGATTCATTTTTTTTTTATTTTTTCACATTTTTAACTAATCTTATTTAATTTTTCAGACAATTTAGCCATAACCTCTGACAGCGAGGGTTAGTGCTTGCGTCATTTGGTTCAGCACCCCTGCCATCTGCACATTCTGCTCTACAATTTTCCTTTGTAGAGCAATGGCCTCCTCCTCTCGCTTTTCTCGATCCTCCACTTTTTTTAGCACTGCTCCAAGCATCTTCGCTGCAGTCAATTTTTCAGAAGGGATGTAAGAAGGCGATGGCATAGGAGAAGAAACGATGGGAGGAGATAGGGAATCTGGAGGTGATGGTGAGGAAGAAATATTTATAGAAAGAACAAGAAAAGCTGGCGATGCGACTGTTGGTGAGGGCGCTGGAGCAGGCGATGTGACTGTTGGTGGTGGCGAGAAAGCTGGAGCTTAAGCTATATTTAAATACAACGGCAAAACCTGTAAGTATAAAAAGGACCAATTATTTCCTCATGTAATAATAAAATATATAGTCCGACAAATATTAAATTAAAATATTATCTGGTGACCCGATGTCTCAACACCCGGCAATCCATCCACCCCCGTTGCCCGAAAAGTTGTAATTGCTTGCTCCTCGGATTCAGTGATTCAATTTATGGGAGGGCCTACACCAGTCGCTTGCGCATATGCCTTCAGTTTGCGTGCTCGCGATCGCAACTGATGTTTCCAATGCATCAGGGACTATGGAAACATATTTTAATAATGTGAAACATACACAAGCACATATGATTTTACCTCCCTCCACTTGACTGCCGACCGAGTTGGCTCTCTTAAGGCATTTAAATTATCTGCTAACTCCGATCAAAGTATTTGGAGCCCTTGAGGGTTGGTCGGAGTTAGCTTCCCCCGTTGCAACTCAGGATGCTGCTTGCAAAACATTATGTAATGTTGCAGCTGCTCCTGAGTTGTCCTTTCCGTTTTTGTACGCCTAGGGATATATGAAATTATTGTATACACATACAGTAAGGGACAAAAGTGTTCACGAATATATGAAATTTTAATTCGCTTGCTATTTCAAAAATTTGAAAGCAGTCTTGTAAATTCTCAAGCGTTACGTTAATTACCAGCCGGTAGCACTTTTTTAAACTAACGGGACTTTTACTGGTTCTATGAGTCGAAGAAAACAGAAATAATGTGTGAACAGTTTTGACCACAATGAGATTTTGTGCACAATTGAGTTCCAAGTTTAATTTTAATACGGAAAAGCTAAAGTTTACTTATTTATTTAATTTATTTACATTTAATGTTTAAGTATTTAAATCCTAAAAAATAACTTTTTAGTTGCTTTATGATGGGAAAAGTCGTAAATCCTGTTTTGAAGAAAAATGTGCTGGAAGACATTAAAAATTGTGTTTCTTACTGAGAAATCGCAAAAAAATATAAAAATTCTCTGGGATTAATTACTAAAATAAAAAAGCAGAATGATTTAACAGTACCATGAAATAGTGGAGGCCGTCCGAAGAAGTTATCCCCAGTTGTAGCACGAATAGTTAGGCGCTTAATTGTTACAGGAGCAACAAATACCACAGTGGATACCAATAGGTTCATGGAGTGAGTGTCAGCGACAAAACAGTAAGAAGATGCCTAAAAAATAACGGGCTCAAGGCCAGAGCAATGGTAAAAAAACCTCTCTTAAGTGTCAAACACCGTAAGGCTCGTTTGGAGTTTGCCAAAAAACATGAACACTTCACAATCGATGATTGGAAGAGAGTGACTTGGTCTGGCGAAACTATAATAAATCGAATAGGATCAGATGGGCGTGCATGGATGTGGATAAACAGGTTGGTTTACAGGAGCGCAACATATGCCAAACAATGAAATTTGGAGGTGGATCACAGATGGCTTGGGGATGTTTTCGCGGAAATGAGCTGGGTGTCCTTCGGAGGATCGATGGTATAATGCGTACCACAGACTATATTGATATTCTGAAGGACTCATATCTTCCAAGTCTAGATATATTTGGACTCGAACGTGACCAAGGAGATATTTTCATGCAGGATTTTCATGCACCGCAAAAGTTACCAAATCGTGGTTTGTGGATAACGGGATCAAACTGCTCGATTGGCCTCCGCAGTCCCCAGATTTGAATCCCATTGAGTATCTTTGGGCGATTTTAAAAAGAAAAATTTTTGCTGAAAAGGATATTCCAAAAACGGTTAATGAATTGTGGGAGCGGGTCCTCCACGCATGGCAAAATATAAGCCCAAACATTTTAGACAACCTCATAAATAGTATGCCAAAAAGGATTGAAGCTTTGAAAAAAATCGCGCGGTGGTCACACAAAATATTGACTGAACTTTTGAGTCTACGGACAAAAGTGTTCACACTTATATCTTCTGAATATTAAGTATTTTTAAAACGTTATTTTTAAATTTTAGAATTAAGTTATTGGATTTGAAAGAGCAAATTTACTACTCTTTTAAATGTATACATTATTTTTTTTGTGTAAGGTGTCTAATAAAATATCTAAGCTTTAAGAAAAATTTTGGTATTTTCGTAAACAGTTTTGTCCCTTACCTATGCTTATTTTTATTAAAACAGCTGTTTGATAGCAAAAAGCTTTTTACCTCACGTGGCGACTTTTTTAAGCTTTTTTCTTATGAGGTTTGAGCAAGAATAGGATCACAAAACATGCCTCACAAGAAATCTCTCAAATTTTTCCTCTCAACTCAGTAAGTTAAGGACTGTAAGTTTACATTCGTAAATTTGTAATTTAATTAAACTTATTTGTGCTGGTAACCCTTCCCTCAATATATATTTTTTTTTTTAACGCAGAAAGGAGTACTACGCGAAAGTACTTCAGTCACTCCGGGTATTCGCTCGGCCATGATTATTTTTTTAGAACGAGATCAAAGGCCGCCAATTTCTTAATAAGTTCTAGGTGATAGTTTATAGTAATATATTATATGATATGTATATGCATATATAAAAATGAAACCCGTTTTCCGTTGTCACGGCATCAAGCGTGAATGGCTGAACCGATTTGGCTGAGTTTTTTTGGGAAAGTAACTTAGAACCAGGGGCTGGGCATAGGCTTTTCATGTTAAAGTTAAAAAAATGCATGAGGATATTATTTTTTTTTTTTCTTTTTTTTTTTTTTTTTTTTTTTTTTTTTGTTTTTTTCTTTTTTTTTTTTTTTGTAGTTTTCTAATACTCTGTACAATGTTCTTATGGAAAAAAATATTAAGAAAATCTCTCAGAAAGATTGAAACATATACATTTAATTTTGCATATTTTAAAAAACGCGCGTAACGAATGTAAAATTAATTTAGTTTAAATGTCAACGTCATTCAATTTAAAAAAAAAAAGAAATTGTAGTAATCTGTTTTCATGTAAATTTTATTAAGCTTTTGATAAAGTTCGTTTTGTTTTAAAAACTAAGAAGTTTGTTTGCTAATAAGTGTTTATTAATCACTGTAAGTTCAATTCACCTTATATAGATTTTTGGTAACTTTTAGTGACTACACACTATTACAATTTGGTATATGTACATGGTTAAACAGAAAAAATATGAGATCTTTTTATTTTCAGTTGGATTTTCGTTTTTAACAATGCCACCAATCAGACGTACAAACTTAGGACTAGAAATAATGTAAGTCAAAGAAATATAAGAGCAAATCAAACAAATGAGCAACGCTCAGAAATGCAAAATGAACTACAAAGGAATCGAAATCAACATAGAAATGTTGTGTTTAATCCCCACAGAGCTGCATTATATTATAATGTGGCAATTGAATACAGTTCAGAGCAAATTGTTACTAGTGGACTAATGAATATTGTGTGTTCACATTGCAATGCATTGAAATTCAAAAATAAAGTCCCTGGATTGTGTTGCGCCAGCGGCCAAGTCAAATTGACGCCATTGGTACCATCACCAGAGCCACTACATTCATTGGTTTCCGGAAATGGGCCAGATTCTGATCATATTTTGACTCACATCCAGCAATACAATAATTGCTTTCAAATGACATCATTTGGCGCAACAAAAGTTATTCGAGACAATTTTATGCCTACTTTTAAGGTAAGTAAATATAATGGTAAAAAATTTTATTCAGTTTTACAACCATGTAGCTGGTGCAAAATGTATTGAGCCAGTGTTGTGTAGATGTGTTTACAAAGTGTTCCACTACTTGGTAAAGCCTACTAAAGCTGATATGGAAAGCTACTGTTCAATGTTGAGGTTTAGTTTTAATTTGAAATTATCTATAAAATATTTTGGCAGTATTTTGCGAGCCACATGGTGGTACAAACAATTTGCTATGCAATTGCCTAAATACATATTTATATTATTGCAGACTCCGTGTCAAATATATCATCGAACAGGTTCCTTATTGCCAATGCCTGATGAAGACTATACATTTTTGCAAATATATTTTATGGGCGATTCAGCAAGAGAAGTCGATCAGCGTTGCGCATACAACAACTCAGTGAGAAGATCCATTGTGGAAAAACTTCAAACATTTTTCCATCAACACAATGAATTAGTTGCATTATCCACAACTGCATTAGACCTCATGCCATCAGATAATCATAAAAAGAAAAGAAAATATTAAAGTTTAAACATATAAATACATATATATATGTATACGCTTCTATGTCTAAAAAAAAAATTATACATGCATATATCCCACATATGTACATATATTTGTCATTCTTCAAGTAAGTATGTATTACTTATGTATATATATTGTACAAGAGTATAATTTGTAACTTAATATACAACATAATTTATACGAATAACATATACATATGTTTACATACATTTGTACATGTACATTCAGACATATCCATAAACAATTGAATTTGCGGAAATTATTCTAATTTTCTTTTCGCGGTTTCTCCTTACTGGTAAAAATTAAACACCAAATATGTAGATTCTTAACGATTTTTCTTTGTTCTTTTTTTTACGTGATTCTTTTTTCAATATTAATTACAATAAAAAACAGGTAAGGAATGGCTAAGTTCGGGTGTCACCGAACATTTTATACTCTCGCATCAAATACCGTATTTTTTTGTTAAGTTTTATTCTGCTATCATCATCCTAATGTATATATTATACAGAGAAGGCATCAGATAGCGTCACAAATAGCGTTACATTGGAAGAAGGCGTGGTTGTGAACCGATTTCACCCATATTTCGTACATGCCGTCAGGGTGTTAAGAAACTATTATGTAATGAATTTCATTGAAATCAATCGAGTAGTTCCTTAGATATGGTTTTGGTCCATAAGAGCGCGACCCCACGCCCATTTTCAATTTAAAAAGAAAAAGCCTGGGTGCAGCTTCCTTCTGCCATTTCTTCCGTAAAATTTAGTGTTTCTGACGTTTTTTGTTAGTCGGTTAACGCACTTTTAGTGATTTTCAACATAACCTTTGTATGGGAGGT